TTTCTGTTGTAATCTTCTGTTTACCGGACATCAGAAAGCCGTCGCATCATTACCGATTCAACACCGACGCCTATCTCTCTCTCTCCGGAAAAACCCTAATTCGCATGAATACTCTAATTTATTGTCCAAGAATCCCCTTTGATCTATTACATACATATTTCATTTGACGTATTAATTTATCACCTCTAAATCAGCATGTCATCGGAGATCGAGGTCGAAGAAAATACAGATCCTACTGCTGCCGGAAATGGCAACGGAGCGGCCGAGGGAGGAGTGGGAGTGCCAGAGGAAAGCTTGAAGAATGACATTTACACTGCTGCAGCGTATGGTGATTTGGAGAAGCTTCGAAATTTGGTCGAGACAGAAGGTTGCTCCATTAACAAGCCTGATGATCAGGGATATCGCGCTTTGCAGTGGGCCGCCCTTAACAATCGTGTCGCTGCTGCTCAATACATCGTCGAGGTTTTCCCTCTTTTCCTCTGTTTCTATCTTCGCTCATGAAGATGTATACAATACTACAAGTTATGTAGTATATACACTCGTGATCAGTTTTATCTCAGCAATCCTCCACTTTACCTTTACTGGATAGAGTGATCCAAAAAGGATATCAGTAAAAGAAGCTTAAGCTAATATTATCAGTCACATACATGATATCAATTACAAATTGTTGTAAATAGTGATCAATGGATTGACGGATTGATCACTCTCTTTATTGACTTTTAGATGCCAAAGAGTTGTCATTCAACTGCTTCTCCTTCATTCTATTCATATATACTATGGTATTCTTTTTCATCTTTCTGTTTATGTGGTATTAACTTCATTTGAACGAAACTTTCAGCATGGTGCAGATGTGAATGCAGTGGATGTCAGTGGTCAAACAGCATTACATTGGAGTGCTGTTAGGGGAGCCATTCAGATTGCAGATCTTTTGCTTGAGGAAGGTGCTCGGGTTAATGCAGCTGATGTATTTGGATACCAGGTTCGTATTTCATTTTACACGTTATGGCATATGAATTCATTTCAGTTTCATGGATTCAATTTAGGGCATTGTGAACAAAGATTCTATTTCATTATCAATTTTGAATTTATTACAGGCCACTCATGTTGCTGCACAGTATGGTCAAACAGCTTATCTGTATCACATGGTCACAAAATGGAATGCAGATCCAGATATTCCTGATAAAGAAGGAAGAAGCCCTTTACATTGGTACTTGAATCTCTTCATTCTACTATAAATTCCAACTCTAATATGGACTATATTGCCCCTTAATTCAAGAGTTTGTTTTGTAGGGCTGCATATAAAGGTTTTGCAGATAGTATACGTCTTCTTCTCTTTCTGGATGCATACAGAGGGCGTCCAGACAAAGAAGGTATTATTGTATTATAATATATATGTATTTGCTGCAATTGTATTTTAAACAATTTTGATCCATCATTTTTGTTTGTGAGATAGTTGCTTACAATTACATTATGCAATTTTAGGTTGTACACCTCTACATTGGGCTGCAATCAGGGGACACTTAGAAGCATGCACAGTATTAGTGCAAGCAGGAAAGAAAGATGATTTAATGGTGACTGATAATACTGGCCTTACACCTGCACAACTTGCTTCTGATAAAAATCATCGACAAGTTGCATTTTTCCTTGTAGGTATTCCTTAATAATAATAATAATAATAATAATAATAATAATAATAATAATACCTGTAAATAAATAAATATATATGTATTTCTTGCTGCAATTCTTCCCCTCTTTAGTAGCATTATTTCCATTTTTTGGACACTTATCACCAAAATTAGAGATGTCAGAACTCAGAACATGAAATAACCACTTTTTTGAGAAACTATCACAACATAGTCATTTTCTAATTATTTCGCTGAATAATAGGTATTTTTTGCAAAATATGAATGCTTTTTGTAATTTTTTTTATTTGGGTTTAATCTCATAAAAGACCTTATATTTTATGTTTTTTTCGGATTAAACCTCAACTTTATTTTTTGCCTGAAAAATACCTTGTATTTTTTCATTTTTTCCGAAAAAAAACCTCAACTTTGTTTTTTTTATTTTTTATTTTTTTCTGAAAAAAACCTCAAATTTGTGTTTTTTTTTTTCCGGAAAAAACCCTCAACCTTCTAACTGCTTCCAAATAAACCCTCAAATTTTTTAGTTTTCTCGAAAAAACCCTCACATTTTACAATTTTTTTTTTGGAAAAAAACTACTAAAAGGGCCAGATCGGAAAAAAAATGAAAAAAAAACAAGGTCTTTTTTAGGCAAAAAATAAATTTGAGGCTTAATCCGGTAAAAACACAAAATATAAGTTTTTTTTTTTATGAGATTAACCCTTTTTTTGGCAAAAATACCAATTATTTAGCGAAATAAATAGAAAATGAACATAGGCACCATTTATAAAGCAATTCCAGTGGTTTCTTAATATTCTCGATAAATATTGATAATTTTGCAAAACAATACGTTTTTATTTCCTAAAAACATTTAGAAAAGTAATTGTGTAGCTCAAAATATTTATTATGTTTTCCACTGTTTTAAGTCATCTAAATTAATGACCCTTCTTAGTGCTCTTCTACATAATATGTCTTATCACAATAATATTTTCCTTTTTTTTTATCAATCACCTTATTATATATTATATATATTCTACAGGGTAATGCTAGGAAGTTGCTTGAAAAGCGTTACGAGGGTATATTTGGAAAACTAACAAAACTAGGGCTAGCACCAGCACTTCTGTTTGTAATATTTGTGCTACTTTTGACCTATATCAATTCAGTCATCATGGGTATTTACACTTTTCAAACCTCTCAAATAAATTAATAATTCTAAGGTGTGATTAAATACTTCTTTATATTCTTATAATAATAATAGTATTTCTTAATTCTTATTGTCTGCAGCTTCAAATTTACCAAAATTAACAGCTGGTTCTGCATTTTTTGCATGGATTGGTGTCACATTAGCAAGTGCAGGATTAATTCTTTTCTATCGCTGTAGCTGGTAAACTTATATTATATTTATTTAAACTTATATTATATTTATTTTTACTCTTGAATTTTATAATATTAACTTCAATATTTTATAAAAAATGACATGTTCATGATGTTGGTGGCCTTTGTGGTTTTTGTAGCAAAGATCCAGGTTACATTAAAGCCAACAGGAATGAGTCCAAAGATACAAGAGATGACGTAAGCTTGTGTTATAAATAAACCTCACCATTGTGCATAAAGATAATATTTTATTTTTCTCTCTTAATGGTCATACAAAAGGTAAATTGCATAAAATAGCAATGTACTTTGCTTTTATCAATTAATAAATTCAATTTTTTTGTTTGTATTGAGTAGGAGCCTTTACTTAAGCTTGAGGTGCTGGACCCAGCTTTGCTAGCTGGCAATTGGAATCAACTCTGTGCAACTTGTAAGGTAATACCATAGATGATGCATCCCAAATGTTTCTCTTTTTTTTTTTTTTTTTTTTTTAATTTATATTTATTATTTTATTTATGAATTTTGATAAATTAGATTGTTCGACCTCTTCGAGCAAAGCATTGTTCAACATGTGAGCGTTGTGTTGAACAATTTGACCATCACTGCCCTTGGGTATCTAATTGCGTCGGGAAGGTTTGTATTTTTTTATAAAAAAATTACAAATTTTAATTATTTTAATCTTGCCAATTGCCATTGACCCAATTTTTTTTTTTTTCAATTTCAGAAAAACAAATGGGATTTTTTGGTTTTTCTTGTTCTCGAAGTTTTTGCCATGTTGATAACTGGCACAGTTGCCCTAACAAGTATGGTTTCTCACTTTCTCTCTTCATTTATTTGTTTATTAATTAAAAAAAAAAGTAGATTACTATTTTTTTTTTTTTACATGTATTAATAATAGTATTGATTTTGATGTAGGAATTGTGAAGGATCCATTGGCTCCATCTTCTTTTGGGGGGTGGTTGCAACATGTTGGTAATCAACATCTTGGTGTTCTATTATTTCTACTTTCAGATTTTTCACTCTTGATTGGTGTCGCAGCTTTAACTTGTATGCAAATTTCTCAGGTATTTTTTTTCCCCCTTTTTCCCATTTATTAAATTATATTATTATTATTATTATAAAATCAATTTATTTTTTTAATTGGTGAAAGGTGGGTCGAAATATCACAACAAACGAAATGGCAAACATGATGCGATACAACTACTTAAGAGGAAACGGAGGTCGATTCAGAAACCCATACGATCACGGCTGCAAGAAAAACTGCTCCGATTTCTTAATCAACGGTTACAACGAAGACATCGAGGTCGCAGAAGAACCCTCCGCCGCCGCCGCCGATCAATTCGACGGCATCAACATGATGCCGATGACTGCTTCGAGTCTAGCCCTAAACTTACAAAACGGAGGACCTATTGCTTCAGCCGCCGCCGCCGCTGCTGCCGCCGGTGGTGGTGGTGGTGGTTATTCTCATCAAACGAACGGAAACGGCCACCATGTTCATTCTCCTGGTTGTAGCCATGGTAAGCCGAAAACGGAGTCGGTGCCTTTAGGGTTAGGGTTAGGGTTAGGTCGAGGTTCGCGATCTAGGGTGGCGTTATGATTATATATGCTTTTTTTCCTCTATATGGTACACAGATCAGGGGTAAAGTGGTAAATCATTCTTTCTAGAGTTGAGTTATACATTGAAATATTTTGTATACATCGATTTTTTAATCAAGCAACAATAGAAGTTTTTAGTGGATATGACTTTTCATAAACAAGAACAACTGAACAAGGAATATATTTTTGTTTAAGGTTAACTAATTATTAGCATGAAATAGCAATGTACTTTACTTTTTTTTTTAATCAATATAGCAATTTAGAACTCAATATATAGCAATGTACTTATATTTTATTTACACATAATAGCAACATACTTACAATTCTTTAAACATATAGCAATATACTTATACTTTTTTTACTGATATAATAACAATATGTAACAAACAACGTATTTCTTTACTGATAGTAGGAAATAGTAACAAAGAAAGTACAAGTTAAGGCATTGTGTACAAAATCCAAAATCACTTTCTACCAAATCAACATTGGTTACATAATTAAGAGTACACACCAAATGAATAAAACTTGCAAGCCAAAACAACAAAAATAACTCTATATGACCTTAAAGACAAATACTTTAAAAAATCAAAGTATTTTTCACCAATTTACGTAACTACCCCTCCGTGTTATCTACTATGTTTTGTCCTGATAATTACAACTCACCTGCAATAGTACCTTGCAGAATAGATCGTATCAGTTTCTAGCTCGAGAGAAAGGTTAAAAAAGGGTATGATTGTCATTTTACAACCAAATTAAGAAATCAATAGGGCACCATGTGAAAAACTATAACATGGCAGTGAGGGTATAATTGTCATTGTCACAAGGACATGAACAAATTACGTAGAAAAACGGTAATGTGTGTGCATGAGTAAGATGCTAAAATGTGGACGTCGTAAGATTGTCTGTTGTGAAATGTCTAAAATGCCCCTTAAAAATGGCTTGTAATGATGATAATGGCAAATGGGTGGAAATATCAGTTTCTACCTCAGACTTGAAGGTTTGTTTGGTTTAAATGGAATCGAATGACAAAGGAACGGAATGAGTAAGAGAATGGAATGAACCATTACATTCCAGTATCATGTTTGGTAGGCAAATAGAAATAGAAAAAGTCATTTAATAGTTGAATCTGAATTAAATTCATAAATAAACACAAAATATTCTTCGATTTAAATAAATTATTATTCATATTGAAAAAAAAAAGTATTATATGTTCATTTTGAATGTATTTTAAATATTTATTAAGTCGTTAAAAAAGATCATTAAGAGTAGAATTGTCATTGTTACAAGAAAATCAAGAATCAAGAACAGAACATGTGCACAAGAGGATGTTAGATTTTGACACACGAAAATTATGTAACAAAGACATGTTATAAGGCATTTATCATTGGACCATTAGTTAATGTCGAAAATACCCTTTGATGAGAAAGGGGGTCTTGCCAAAAATGAGATTTTATGATCAATATAAGACAACTCCTAATGAAAATTGTTGAAAGTTTTTGTGAGACATAGGTAGTAACAATGAAAAAAATGGTTGACTACAAGCAAATGTGCTAAATACCCTTCAACAACAACAAACCACGGGAATCTTGTGGATCCACATAAGTATGTCCAATTCTCTATCACAATTAAAATGGGCAAGAAAGTAATTTTAGATAGAAGAATTACCAAGTAGTTGGACGTGGAACAAGAAGCACCCGTTTTCCTTTTGCATGTAATAACCGGATCTTGAAATGGCACTCATTGTGCATGTTCAAAGGCGTAAAACAACTTAGAAACTCGTCTTCGAAGCAATGGTTCTAATCTAAAAGAAGGAACACCACTTTGCCATCTTTTCACTTCATACATTTCATGCCATGCTTGTACTATCTCATCAATATCAAAACCTAAACCTAAAGAACATAAGAACTTAAGGTCAAAACTTGCTTCCAAAAAAGGGCTCCATATGATTCATTTGGTTCCATTTTTTTAAAAACACCCAAAATGGTTGCCTATAAAATTAATAAAGGTCGTGTTTTTTTTCATTAAGTGTTGTCCAGATAACTGATGTTTAAAAAATAAATGGAAAAATAACCACACTTGGAAAAAAGGAAAAGAAATGAGAAATTTTTTGTAAAAAAGTTACGACTTAATGGGGAAAGTCTCATTTCCATGACTTTATCTATTAAAACGTTCTTGCTGCATTAAGTCAAATAAAAAGTTAAAATGGTCATTTCCCACATCTAAACAATTCATACGGTCCAAAAAAATAAACAATCTTTGTGTATACAACAAACAACATTTATCCATACAACAGTTATTGTGGAAAACAAAGTGTTATACACAAAAACTGTTTCTTTGTTGGACTGTCTACATGTGAGTAAATCACTATTTTGCCCTTTTAATACTCCAACAACCAAGTTCCACCATATTGTCAAGTAATTGATTCCGACAATATGGATAGGATTTTTGTACTTTTTTACCTCGAATTAACGTAAAAATTTCAAGAAAAATAAAGAACCAAAATACCTTGTGGTGCATCGACATTAGAACAATGATTCTTTATCATAACAGCAATATCCGTATGAGAAACACCCGCAACTTCAAATTTTTCAACAGCAATCTCCAAACATTCATGCCAAAAATCAAGCCCTAATTTATACTCCATACTTGATCTTTCATAAAGCATAGTTCCCCACAAAACATTTATCAAAGACCTCATATTTCCACCTTCATTTTTATCACTTTCCTCCCACATTCCCATACCCTTTTCCATATTTTCTTCCGCTTTATTATAAAGTTCAATAACATCACTCGAATCCCACTTTTGAATATCATCATTTTTCTCAATCTCATAATACCAACGTATTTTCGCCTTCTCAAATTCTTCATGTCCCAAAGCCAAAAAACCTTCATAAAAATCAGGCTTCACTTTGATTGCTTTTTCATACATCTCACCAGCTTTTGAATACTCATTTTGTGCCCATTCGTATAAATCTTTTTTTGATTCTTCAAAAACCCTTTTTCTCGCTTTTGACATATGCACATTTCCACAATTAAACAAAGCCAAAGCTGCCATTTCTTGAAACTTATCGGCTGCTTTATTAAAAAGTTCTTGAGATTCTTCACTTGTTAACGCATCGTCCATAGCTTCCATGTACAACTTCATACCAATTTCATGAAGATCCAAATACGAATCTGAATTAAACCCGACATAGTTCTTGAAAACCTCTGAAAATTCTAGAATCCAATCATCGATACAAGATTTTGAATTTAAAAGCTTTTTCTTCTTTTCTTGCCTTCTAAAATGGTCGAAAAATGGATTTTGCTCAGGGTTGACTTCTATGATGTGAAGTTTGACCGAAGTTTGATCCGAAAGTGATTCCGCCCATCTTAATTCTTCGTTTGTGGTAATTGTGACCATATCGCCCTCTTGATCTTGATATTTTATTAAAACAGCTCGTGAAAGTGGAAATCGTTCGAATATAATTTCTCTTAATTCCAAAACATCGCAATTAATTGGAATTTTTGCCCATCTTATATCGTCCCCATAGACCAATTTTATACTCCTTTTTGGCTTGTTTTCTTTGCTAAATTTGCTTATTTTTTCATCCACAACCAACTTATCTTCGGTTTCTTTCTCCTCAATCTTGTCTTCTTTTTCATCCATATGCTCAAGTTTTTCACTTTTTTCATCCACAACAACCAACTTATGTTTGGTTTCTTTCTCTTCAATCTTGTCCACTTTTTCATCCATATGCTCAAGTTTTTCACTTTTTTCTTCTTCATTGACAATGAGATTTTTTGGCTCTATAAGTGATTTCACTCTATGGGCAATCTCAATTGCCATGATGTTTTTTGGTTCCATATTTAACACAAGATTAACATCTTTTAAAGCCAAATCAAGTCTATCTAAAGCCTCATAACACCTAGCTCGTTTCAAAAGTGCTTTACTATATTTTGGTGTAACTTCAAGGGCTAAATTACACTCATGAATAGCCCTTGGGAATTCGGTGATACCCATTTGCATGTAGCATGATGCAATGTTGGTTTGGAGATAAGAGACTGTTATGTGGTTTTTGGGAAGCAATTTGAGGGCTTTTTGGTAAATTGATATGGCACCTTCGTAATCTTTCTTTTGAAATAATTTGTTTCCCTCTTCTTTGTGTTCTTGTGCCATGGAAATGAAAATGATGGTGTCATTATCGTATTTATTTTTTCCTGACTTTTTACCCATTGTAGAACTAATGACAAAACTAGCTCAAGACATAAACAACCAAAAAGATGAAGTTTCTTGAAAATCGTGGGGTTTTTCAAGAATCAAGACAAAGTAATGTTATAGATCCTAATTCAAATCCTAAACATCAATTAATCGACTTGTAATAAAACCCAAAAGACCCATGTACCTTGGATTAATGTATCTCCAAATTCACAATAAAATCTCACACAGAAACACCTTCACCGTGTGTGAGAAACTTCAAGAACTGAAAAAGCTTATTTCTTGAAATCATTTGGCCTTTTCAAGATAGCAATTACGTATCTCCAAACCCACAAGAAATTTTCACACATAAACACCTTCACTGTGTGAGAAACTTCAAGAACTGAAAAAGATTAGTTCTTGAAAACGCTTGGTTATTTCAAGATAAGTAATGTTATAAAGCTTAATCCAAATCCAACATCAATAAACTCACAACAAACCAAAACGACCCCGTTTCCTTGGATTATATATCTTCAAACCCACAAGATTATTTCACGCAGAACACCCTCACTGTGTGAAAGTTAAGATTCTAATAGCTTAAACCAAACTTGTACGTAAACCAAAACTAAAAATCCCAACTTGCTTTTTTCTCTCAAAAACTGCACTATTGTTGCTTGTGAGATCGAAATATGAAAAGAAAAGGGGAAAAAAATTCTAAAGGGAGAGATGATGATTCGTACGCAACCACCAGTCAAACTCTCTCTTGAAAATCGATATTAATCTAAATGCCTTAATGGAAAATTTGAGAAACATCAAAGGAAATGAATGGAGCTAAAAAAACTTATCTGGAGTGAGACAAAATGTGATCTTTGAAGAACATCGAAAATTTGTGGAGCAGAGAAAAAAGCTTGCGTTCTTGAGCTTCTAATATTCGTTTTGGATGTGAAGCTCTGTTGGGAAGGTAATATTTACTGTTTACTTTTTAAATTGATTTAAATTTATGTAATAAACGTTTAAGATTAATGACGTAACGGCTAACATTGCATAAAAGTTAAAGAAAAGGTAATGAGAGAATTTTATTTTTAATTTATTTTTTGGAAATAGAATTAAATAATTCTTGAAAATCTTAGAGAATAAGAAGTGCAAGGAAAGTGGTCCCATAGTTCCCGTGAACTCCAAGATTGTTGGGTCCTGTTTTATATAAAAAAATTTAGGGTTTTTTTTATCAAAATAATATTATTGTCTTGTTTTATTTTGATTCTAGATTTTAGATGTTATGTTAACATACATTTACTTAAATTTTAAGAAGACAAAATTGCAAAAATGGTCCCTGTGGTATGTATTTTTTTTGGGTTTTGGTCCAAACCATGAGTTTTTTGGGTTGATGGTCATTTTAAGCTAGTTTGCTTGTAGTTTTGGTCCCTGTTCAAACTAAAAAGACTATTATACCCTTAATTAATTTATTTTTCATTTTTCTTTTACCTTTTAAAATTGTTATTATTATTAAATATAAAAGTGGCCCCACTTATCCTCTCTCTCTCTCTCTCTCTCTCTCTCTCTCTCTCTCTCTCTCTCTGGCGAGGCTAGAGGGGGCAAGAGCCCTCGTTCTTCCTTCCTATCCTATCGTGATACACCACCCATAAACACCCCCTGTTGCTGCGGTGACTTTTCTTCTGTGCTTGCGCTACTGGATCAGCAGGAAGGAAATCTAGGGAAGCCGCTGGAGCAGCCTCCCTCACCACCATAGACGGCTGCCACTGCCTCCACCTCCCTTCTCATTCACAATTTGCTACCAAGCACCCTAAATGTCGAAAGTTTCAGTTGTTTTGTTTCTCCCGGTTTATTGTTGCCAGCGACGAGGTGAGAGGACCAAGGAGAGCTCGATAGATATCGACTCCTTTCCCCTCCTCGGTATTTACCAGCCACACCAAAACTTCCATGTATGAAGACGAAGATGCTGACCCATTCTTCAACCCTCGAGCTTCAAGCCTCGAAATGGAACACATTTTATCGAGATTCATCTCCGGGGATGGTGATAATTCAAGCTCTCATCAGAATATAGGTCAAATTCGGGGAAACGACCCCCCCCCCCCCCCCCATTTATGGATCCTATGAAGTAGGAACGACCGAGATCCATGGATAAATTTCGAAGTGATGATGGCAGTGTCAAAGGGGTTTGAAAATCGAATGGCTTTCTCATCAGCTTCACATTCATCTTTGATACCACTGTCTCTTATCCCTGAAAACGAAGGCAAAACCATGGGAATGAGTGGTGTTGGTGCACACAACAATGGATGTTTTGGTCAAGCTCATCCAAGAGCTACTGGCTATGGCTTTCCTGTTTTCCTTACCCTCTTCCCTTTGCTTGTTGTTGCGAAGAAATGCTCCTGTCTGTGGCAGCCGTCTGATATCATCGTAATTATGCCAATTTGAATGTGGTGTTGTTCTGTTCTTCCTGTTTGCTACCTTGGCCTTGACAGTATCATCGTAATTATGCCAAAAAAAAGTGTTTTCCCCTAAAATTGCAACGATGGTGGTCGCTGGTTGTTGCAGCGATGGTGGTCGTTGGTGATTGCAGTGGCGGAATACGAGAATTAGATGACAACGGTGTTGGCCGATTCCGACGATGGGTGTGGTCGACTGTTGAAGGAGATTGAACAGAGGAGAAACGCTTGTGGATCCAATTTTGACTTTATCATTCAAACATTGTTCATTCATCCATCCATGAGAGAGAGAGAGAGAGGAGGTGGGCCCAAATTTATTATTTATTTTCTTTTTCATTTAAATTAAATGGAAAAAAACATAAAAAATAAATCAGAAGGGCATTACAGTCATTTCAATTTACCGAGTGACCAAAATCACAAACAAACCACTTCAAAAGGACCACCAATCCAAAAAAGTCGTTGTTTGGACTAAAACCCCAAAAAAATACATACCACAAGGACCATTTTTGCAGTTTTGTCTTTAAGAAAAGGTAACGATGATGTCAAAAGATGCAGGAAATGGTAAAAGCAAATTTGGCATCAAAACTATAAATCAATAAATAATGGTTACTATTTTGTTAAATACAAAATTGGCTTTTGAAGGCGATTAAGGTTTCTTTTTTTGAATCGATATTAATCTACAATTGATGCTATGTGGATGTGTCTTCGTGTTAAAGTTGATGTTTGTGTTTCATTTTGAGAAAGTTAACATGTCCGAATCATATGAAATATAACTATATTTTTCTATTTAAATTTATTAATATATATTGGGCAATACCTATTTAAATATTTATTCATTGACAATTAAAAAAGTTGTCCAAACCAGGGACGGACCGAGGATTTCGTAGTAGGTGTTGCCGGTGGCACGTAGGTGTTGTCGGTGACACATTTTTCCTTTTACGTAGTGGCACAAATGTAGAGAAAACGAAAATTTCGAAAATTTTTACACTGTATCCAAAAAAATAAGGTGTTGCCGGTGCCACTATGGGCACCATAGTGGAACCGTCCCTGGTCCAAACCAATGATAATTTTTTTTATTAATATATATATTTTGAGCAACGTGTATTCAAATATTCTAATTTCTGTTTATTTTGGATAAAATAACATCTTTAATTTTTTTTTTAATTTTTTATGCATTGACAAGGCTTGTACATATTTTAATTATGGTATTATATAACGATTCGATGCTTAAGTAAGCTAAGATATTGTAGTATTGTACTTACCTTTCGGACATAATGTTAAAATTAATACATTACATAAATTTAAGATAAAAAAATTGGGATAATGACTTAAAAATGTAATATATTTTTCGATTTGTACACATTTGGTCACTGAGTTTTTTTTTCGTCCACATTTACCCCTTTCAACTTGTTAAACTGTACACATTTAGTCCGTATGACCGACTACTTCAAGTTAGCCGGTAAAAATGACTTAATATGATAATATATTTCTCACTTTGTACACATTTAGTCCTTTATATATATATATATATATATATATATATATATATATATTGCAAAATAAGTTATTTTTGTTTTTGTACTCATTCAGTACTTATGAATGATTTCTTTAAGTTTTTCTCACGACATCTTACGTGTGATAGACATATGGTGGTAGGATGGGTTGATGCGGTCGTGCTATATGTTGTAGGCCAAGATACCTGGTGTGGGCCGGCTGTAAGCCGTAGGCACGGAGGCTCGAGAAGAGCGGTTGGGTTAAGGCGACAGACCAACAAACCCTGGGTATTCCAGTACGATGACTAATTGGATCTGTTGCATGTTGGCATTCTAGTCCGATAACTGATTGGGCCGATGTATTCCAATCTGATGAGTGTGGGCCCGTTATGCATGATAATACGTTTGTTGTATCGGATATTTTGGGGGAAACTCGTTAAACCTTTGAGTTTACTCAGTTGTTTATGTTTTCAGGTTCTATCGTTGATCGTGAGAAGGCAAAGACAGGACTGTACACACTCATCAACAGTATTGAGGATTCCGCGTTTCCTATATTACTTTGATTTCGATAAATGTATTTTTGGAATAAGCGTTTTTTTCTTAATAATAGATTTATAATTAGAGAGTTTTGCCTTATTTAAAAATGAAGTTTTTTTGGACTGAATGAGTACAAAAACAAAAATGACTTATTTTGAAACAAAAAAATATTAAGGACTAAATGTGTACAAAAATATCAAGGACTAAATGTGTACAAAATGAGAAATATATTACCCTATTAAGTCATTTTTTTCGGCTAATCTGGAGTAACCGGTAATAAGGACTGAATGTGTACAGTTTAACAAGTTGAAGGGATAAATGTGGACAAAAAAAACTCAATGACCAAATTTGTACAAATCCAATAATATATTACCCTTTTAAGTCATTATCCCAAAAAAATTAGCATAAAATACATGAATCATGTGATACATTATATCCTTTTTAAGTGCATTTAATTATTTTTATTAAAAGGATTGGGTGTAAATCATAAGGATGGGATGTAAAACGTTATCTACTTTAAGCCACACATGTCAGGTGACCCTATTGTCGTCTGTCGACTTAACAGAATTCTACCAAAACTGCATTTGTACCCTGATATCAACTGCCAACGGTTACATGTCTAACGGCCAATCAATTTCACTCCGTTAGTCAAAGTCAAACTATCAACAAATATGCTTAACTCAACCTACAAGCCAAGACACCTCCCCAAGCCCATTAATATTTTATTTAGGACTTTTCTTCGTATTTAAGTTTCCCAGTTTTCAGTTATATCTTTATGATATAAAAATAGAGTAAATTACAGTATTGGTCCTTTTGGTTACACGTATAATCTTATTTGTTTTTTTTTAAATGATGATGAATACATATAATTGTAGACTTCAACTTTATACTTGATACATGTCACACGTCATTTAAAAAGAATACCTAAGACAGTAAAATCGACTTGTGAGTGCATGAGTTTTAGACCCTAAATAGTATTTGAAAATATGTTTTCTTATCTCATTCCTTCAAATGAATGACTTTCAAAATACATTTACTTTCCAAAAGTTTTTCTATAGCATGACTCACTTTGTCAAAATTTTGTCTTTTAAACAAAAGTCTTTACATTAAAAGACATTTCAAAACTAGTTCCTTATACTAAAATCTAAAGCCAAAAGCATGTTTCAAGGTTATAGAAAATAGCTTTAAACATTTATTCTCAATTTATGCACCAAATCAAAATACTCACTCCAAATCAGTCGAATAGTTAAAATATTATAACTTATAAAATGTACAAAAAGCCCAAGTGCATATAGCTCAAATTATGAAAATAGTCAAAAATGCTTCACCTAAAATATACAATTACTTAAATAGTGAAAATACTCACGACCTAAAACATATTGAACCAAAAACTCAACAGGTCCAAAACATACTTGCACTTCTCTTGTAGTGTAAGAAGACCGATCAACTCCTTCTATGATCCCCTCAAAGGACCATAATATACCTCAAGATAGAATATATTTCATCCCTTGATGCGATACTTCGCTTCCAAGGTTGCTACCTTGTTTGAAGCTTGTTCCCAATGTTTGAATATGGTGGTTTTTATATAACACTCAACAGAAGCAATAAAAAAA